TTTTGTTCTTTTGATTCAAACATATGTGTTTTGGGTTTAAGAAGGAGGTTATTGATGTTGTTGATGATATTTAGACCTTTGGGTCGATGTTGAGCAAACGGGGAAAATGCCATGTTTGGGTTTATTTGGGTCATTAGTGTAATTAATGACATTTATTATCGGAATACGAAATTGAGTGGAAATAATGAAATTGGCTCATTATGAGGTAGAATAGTGGAGTTGGATTCATTAATCACTCACCTTTGAAAATGTTGATAGTTTATCTGTTGGTGCATTTATTATCTGTTTAGAAATAACTGCTTTGGGCTATCGGTAGAGGATAGTCTTGATTGTTGTAGACACTGCATGATGATTAGGTGAATTAAAACTAATCAATTTGAGTATGTCATTGAGTATGACGGTTGGAATAATACAACGAATTTGTGTATTGATTAGTTATTGTATATGATGAGTATTTGAATACATGGGTGCCGAATCCCGTAGATGAAATTTCCGTGAAATGGCAATTCGAAAATAATTATACATGGGTGTCGAATCCCGCAGATGAAATTTCCGTAAAATGGAAATTCGAAAATATCTATACATGGGTGCCGAGTCCCGCGGATGAAATTTCTGTAAAATGGCCATAAGAAAATAATTACACATGGGTACCGAATCCCACGGATGCAATTTTCGTGAAATGGCAGTTTGAAGTATTGTTGGCATGAGATGTAGTCTCACTTAAGTTGTTTGGCCAGGTTCTGAGCCGTGTTTATAAGTTGAGTTTTTGTTAAGTGAAAGATTATGGAATTGGATTGTACTGTATGTTGGTTTATATGAGTTAAACGTTTATCAAGTGCTAATGTTTTAGTTATTGCTCATATTATGTTTACCATATCTCTACTAGGCATTGGCTCACCCTATATGGGACATCATTTTCAGGTACAGGTATTATGCCACCTCCAAGGATGTAACTTGGGAGGCTTGAGGCTGTCAGACTCCTTTTTTTTGTTTTTGTTGTATTACATGTATATCAAGCTAAGGGCTTATTTTGTGTAGAGTTAGTACTCTCCTTTTTGTAACCAAGTGTTGACTTGGAAAGTTGCAAGCCTATAGGACATTTACTTTTGTTATCAATATGTAATACCTTTTGTAAGAATACTCTGATGATTGTAATATGAAATCTCTTTCTTGTATCATGGATGTCTGTTTTTGGGTTTATTTTGAGGGCGTTACATTAAGGCACCTATTGATGTTTCTTGAATAATTCTTAAATAAAAATTTGAATTTATAGTATTACTGATAACGTACATTTGTGAGCTCTGCCAGAAAATATATGCAAAAATAATTTGGCTGGAATAAAAAATTTGCAGTTATGATGATGTCACATAATTAATCAAGACTCTTTTGAAATCTAAAATTATTAAGGTTTAGATATTTTATGCCTGATTTCTTTTGAGAACGTTGTTTATGATTTGAATATGTAATTTTTTATACATCAATGTGAATAACTCTTACGATCTTACCGATATAAGTATAAATCCTACCTTTGAGCCAACCAATTTAAGTATTTTTTCATGCAATAAAATACTTAAATATTGTCATATAAAAGTATTATAATAGATCATAATCAAACACCACTTGAAACATAATTAAAGATTCGATGCATCACTTTGGACATAATAAAAAAATAAGAAATTAGCAAAGAACTTTTTGATTAATAACCAAAATAATACACTAGGAGTTATAACCAAGTCATAATTTGTATATTATAGAACTTTCCGTTGTTTTTATTTTTTTTCAAAAAAAAAAAAACTATTTTGATACAAGCAGAATTTATGATTTTTGGTAAATTTGATTAACACAAATGAAAATTTGATTTCAGGTTGAAAATACACTCTCTTTTTTTTCAAAAAAAAAAAATTTGAAAAAAATTATTTTTACAAGCCTTTTACATATGATCACACATATAGTGACAGAATTTTTCATTAGCTATTAACAAATTTGTTTGTATTTGACTTTCAATTGTTAAAATTTTCTACACAAAAAAATATAAAGACTTAAAATTAATTTTTTATTTTAAAAATAAATTTCCATGCATCGTACAAGTCACTTACTAGTTTATTTCATATAATTTAGAGATCTCTTTGACTAATATAAATTAGTTTTGAGTGAGAAATTTTCAAAAACTCTAACCCTAAAAAAATGGGGGAAATAAATAAACAAAACTCAAGGTTTGACCATTGTAAAAAAATAAATCCTGAATTTTTAATTTTATCAATATAAATTCTAATTTTTTTAATTTAAACCATTCACGTGTTTCCATTAAATAAAACTCAGGGTTTGACAAGTGTTAAAAAATAAACCTTGAATTTTTAATTTTATCAATATAAATTCTAATCTTTTAATTTAAACTATTTGCATATTTTCATTAAATAAAAACCGAAAGAAAAATAGTATTTTAGCCATTAAACTCAATATATGTGTACATAAAATGTCTAAAATACCTATTTTCATTGAGTTTAATGATTGAAATATAATTTTTCCGTCGATTTTACTTAATGAAAATAGACAGATGTTTAGATTGAAAATAAATCAAAAGATTAGAGTTTAAATTGATAAAACAAAAAATCAAGACTTATTTTATTACATGGTTGAACTCTGATTTTTTTTTTATATAATAATTTTCCTTTTTTTCAGCAAAAAAAAATATTATTAAATAGAAAAATGCTCATTTATTATTGGGATTAGTAAATGAACACTTTTCTCGAAAATTAACTTTCTTAAAACAAAAATGCTAGAGATCCTAAAAATTCTAACATTACTCTTCTTGAAAAGAGGAGTGATGGAGACCTCCTCCAATCCCCCCCCCCCACACATGTGGCAGGTGGTGATTGGAGGACAAGGGAAACAAAAAAAAAAGGAAAAAAAAAATCCAACCAATGAGAAAAAGAGGGGGTCAAAGGGGATGGAAAAAAAAGGAGGCGTTAGACATTTTTCTCTTGAAAAATATGTCACCAATGCCTCATTAATATAGCACACAATGTACATAAAAGTAGGTGAAAAAAACAACAAACAAATTTATGCAGCATGAGACATTGAATGGATTAACTATGCAGCATGAGACAAATTCAGGAAGCTCTTCCATTAAATTTATAATTTAAACATAGACTAAAATAGGACGATGCACTGGGATCATGTTTAATAATACAAGTATAAATTTATTGATTTTCTAAATTGGAATTTGGGAGCTCCTCCACCTTGCACATGGATGATTTGGACTTTGGAGGACTCATTTGGACTTTCAATGCCCGCACATAGAGCTTCTTTAGATGGGGATCTGTTTGCTTGTTTGCAGATTTCTGCATATGTCTCCACTTTTCCTGCATGGTCAAAATGCCACCTCATTTAAAACCATATTTAAATAATCAATATTTTTTATTTTATTTTATTTGAATAATCAATACTTGTATATACACCGAAAAAATATTTATTGTACTATATATAATCCACTATGACACACAACCTTATACTTTATTTTATATGAAGTATTGCGAGTGCTTCCAAGCATATTTAATAATAAACATCTTAACTGAAAATAGAGCATCATAAAATTTTAGAGAAATTCTACTATGCATACTGTGAAAAAAAAGTATAACTGTGCATATTATTTGTGAAACCAATTTTTTACAATTACAAAATTTTACTAAACTATTTGTAAGTTTTTAAAAATAGAAAGAGATACTAAACAAATTTTTGTTTACAATTTTTCAAATTTTTTTTTTTTTGGTTGTAAATATAGAGAAGAAAAAAGAAGTGCAAAAGGCAAGTTTAAACAAGTTCGAAGGATTGGGTTAGGACATATTTTAATAGCTTAAATATTATTGAAATCAATTAATCATGATTAAAGATGAACTAATAAATCAAAGAGCATTCTAAATATGTTTCAGGAACTTAAATTTTAATAATTCAACATTACAAAAATGCAAATCAAAAGTAATATCATGATAAAAAAAGAGATGTCATATAATTTACTTAGTGCATAAATGGTAATAAATCGCAAATTGCACCGTGTCCACGTATTTTTTAAGTTGTCTTATAATAATGACTAGTAGGCGGTGGGAAAAAGAAAAAGTAATATAAATTTCTTTTCCCTGTAAATAAGTGAAAGTTACGGTTACAAGAATTTGCTAAACTAAATTTTTGAAAACGGAAATAGATACTAAACAATTTTTTATTTACAATTTTTCAATTTTTTTTATAAATAAAAATAGAAAGGTTTAAATAAACGTTACCAAACATATCCTTGTTCAATTGTCAATACCTTAATTTTCATATTTCAAATTTCAATTTTAAAGTTTAGCAAACAATACCTTGGCTTTCTAAGCAAAAAGTTCTTAGTGCTTGCACGGGGATATAAACGAAGGAAAATTATAAAATAAATAAGCTTTATAATAAAATAAAATTTAATTTTATCAATTTAAATCCTACTTTTTTGATTTGTTTTTAATTTGAATCATTTGCCTATTTTTTTAGGTAAAATTGACGGAAAAAGAGTATTATAATTATTAAACTTAATGAAAAATGATATTTTAGATATTTTTCATATACCTACATTTAATATAATGTCTAAAATATTATTTTTGTTCGTCAATTTTAGTTAACGGAAATAGACAAATAATTTATATTGAAAACAAATCAAAAAATTATGGTATAAATTGATGAATTACAAAATTTAGGGTTAATTTTGTTACATGCCTTAAACTATGAGATTTTTTTTTTTGTAATTTTTCTAATAAACTATTAAATAGCGCTAAATGGGGAAAAGGTACAATGTAGTATGGAAAGATTGCAAGTGAAACTCTTTACCTTCAATTGGTCTTTTGATCGATCTGAATCCTCGAAATATAGTTTCTTAATAGTTTTCCAATTGCAGTATCTGCGATACAAAATGACAAAATCAACATGGTATCCTAATTCAGTTTTTAAAAAAACATGGTATCCTAATTATGTTCCATTTCTTAGTTGTGTTTCATGTCATAATAAAACTTACTTCCCTCCATATTTCTCAACTCCTTCAATCAGTTTTTCCATTTCTTCAAAACTGAACTTCTTATAAGTTCGACCTTTCCCTTCCGAGGAGGACAACTCGGCTCTTTTGCATGGTGGAGATGGTAGTACCTCTTGGTTGTAAGTTTCCTCATGATCTGGAAGCCTGCAACAGGTAATGGACCAGTTTAAGTGATCATTGAAGCTGAAAAATAGAGCAATGCTAGGAACTCCAAATGAATTATCAAGTACTTTGCCCAATGCACAAAATAAAAAGTAATGTTTCTAAACTAACATAAAGATTTCATACATACAACTGAAAATTATTGGCTTTTACCTTGGTAGAGGTTGGGATGTGTTCCCAGCAAAATTCCCCAAGCTAAGTTGTGTGAGCTTATCCTGTTCATCAGTGGTGGGCTTTTGACCCTGAAGCACACCAAGACACACACTCAACTAAAGCTTTGGAACCATTGCTTCCATATCCTTTTTTTGTTTTATTTTTAATTGAATCAAAATTCCGATATGAACTTAAAAGGCATTTTGTTTCCAATGGCCTTGTTTGTGGTCTAATTGCATGGGAGAGATTGGAGATTCAACTTCCCTCAAGAACTAATTTAACAATCAACAACTAATTTTTTGTGGAAAAAAAATGTTTTCATTCATTTTTACTATTTTATCATTGTAATTTCTACTCTCATTAATTTCCTGGAAAACTCCATTTAAATTCAGTGGATTTCTTTCCACATGCTAACACAAAATTTGCCTAATCATAGGCATGGTTTAGAGTTCGGACCTACTATAATCTAGGAGTCCCCAGTGGCCCAAAAAATATAAAAGAACTACCACACACGGCTCTGTAATATTTTGTACTAGGTTTTGTAGGGCTAAAAGTTGTACATGTAAACCTTTCGGTACTGACTATTGAAAAAACAAATGAAGATTGACTTATTTTGGCACATGAAGGCACTGAAGATTTGGTGCAGGGTGGTGGCCCGTGGTAGTTTTTTAAAATTTTACATTAGGTAAATTATATTGATATCCCTTATACTATGTTTGGTTGAGGGATTTTGGAAGAGATTTGAAAAAAAAAAAAGGGAAAATGTAGTGAAATGTGAATAAAATATACCTATATTCAGCTAGTTTCACACACATTTTTCCTTTCCCTTTCCAAATTTCCAATCAAACACAACGTTAAAGTTTAGAGAAAATATAATAAGTATCACAATTTTAACATAATTACACCGATCTTTTTTATGGTAAAGTTAAAAAGGCCAAAACTAATGGACCAAGGAGTGCTGTTGTGACCAGTGTTGTGACTGTGGTGCCCCAGTGGGTATTTTTTGAGTCTCTTATTATAATCTGAACCGTTCCTATTATAGAATTTGTTGAATAGTTCATTCATGCAAAAAAATCAAATTGATTGGAAATCTATAATTCTATAACAAGAGAACATTTTTTTTAAAAAAAAAAAAATAAACAGTTGACATGATCTTCATAATATTTTAAAAATAATTTGAATATGATCATTGGGTTGCTGATTTCCGATTAATTTGATTTTTTTTATGAATGATATACTCGACGAATTCTAAAATATGATCGGTTTGGATTATTAAAAAAAATTCAAAAAAGCCCCACATCAGGGCACCACAGATCACTATTGTGACTTTAGTCATAGTAGGATTCCCAAATCCAAAACTAGTATAGATGGTATGAATACACAACGATACACAATGTAAAATGTACATTTCAATGTAAAAGAGATGGCAACATTATTTTTTTATTCATACGGCTAACAAATTTTTGATAAAAACTGGGCCACGCATTATATGAATTAAAACCTTAAAAGAGCCTAGTATAATTATGTTAAACTTGTGAGATATATTGTATTTTTTTCAAACTAAGTGAGCCGTTAGTGTAATTTACCTTTTTAATTATTTTATTCTCCTCACATAAATATTTAGTCATATATATTCAAGTGGATTTTACTAAGCACATATTTTAACATACATTTTAATATTTCGATTAGAACATTCATATACATTAAATTGACAAACCTTTAACACATAAAATTGAGTCTCACTTTTATCACTTTTTATCATATAAAACACTTTAATAAATATTTTTAACGTTGCTAATGCAGATACTCTTATTTTTATTTCTGTTGAGAAAATATTTTCATGACTCAAACCCTTCTGACCAGAAACGGTAACAAAAACAACCTTTCTATTGGTTTATAGATCACTCGGGTATTAAAATTAAAAATAATTAAAAAAAAGAACGAAAAGCATAAATAAATAAATAAATAATTAAGCACTTTACACATATCTTATTTTAGCAAACTATAGTCAGTGGCCGACGAGGAAATTGAATAAGGGAGGGCTAAAGTAAAATAATATAAATTTTAGAGGAATTAAAATAAGATTATATAGATTTCAGAAACCAAGATATTAATTTATCTTACAAAAACTCAAAATGACACGAAAGTTATGAAATTTTTCAAAGGTTTGGGGTGACTAAAATATTAATTTATTTTATAATTACTAAAAAATGCATGAAAATAATAAATATTTTCAACGATAAAGTAAAATTATTTAAAATTTGAAAGGGTTAGAATAAAATTATATATATTTTGAAGGGACCAAAATGTAAACTTTTATAAATATTTAAAATTACATGATAAAAATATAATTTTTCAAAAATTGAGGGGTGGGATGGCCCCGCCCGCCAACCAACCCTATGTCCACCACTACCTCATCACTCATATTTTGAAGCTTAAGAAGTAATTACATGTCACCCAACATGGCTATGCAAATATAAGCAAATTTTAAAAAAAAAAATACAGGACATAATATGTGAGAGTACTAATTATCCTTTTTTGTGTAAATTGATTTTTAAAAAATAATATTTTTATTTTTCATATATATATATATCTATATTGTTTTTAATGATTTTTTTTAAAATTTTTTAAGTAATTTTTTTTTTAGATTCACATAATCTAAATACATGTAAAAAGTATAATATTTATGAAAAAAAATCTTTAAAAATTCACTAAATACGAAAAAATACAAAAAGTATAAAAATTTAGTATATTTTTATGTTTTGTTGTATTTATTGATTTTTTAATATATTTTTCATCAATACTTACTTTTTAGGTGCATCTAAATTAGGTGGATTTAAAAAATAAAAAAAAAATTGTTTAAAATAATAAAAAAATTCACAAAAAACAATTTTTTTTTATTATAGAAAATCAATCAAAATCAAACAAAGGTAAATAAAATTATGAGTATATACTTATAGGAAACAGGGTAGCTAAAGTGTCCTGAGACAACAGTCATTCTTGTGCACCCATATGGGCCCATTTCGGGGCTTGTTTGATAATTCAAACCGTTTACTTTTTAGAGTATATTGAATAGAATATACTTAAAAAAAATAAAATTAATTGGACACTATTAACCTTTTTATCAACTCATATTTGTATTTACAAAAATAAATGAAAAATGTAATTTGTAGTATGAAACTGAATACAAATGCGAAGAGACGAAAATGTTAAAGATATCCGATCAATTTGATTTTTTATAAGTATATTCTACTCGATGTACTCTAAAAAATGAACAGTTTGGATTAAAATGGGCCCCGAATCGGGCCCATATGAGCACACAAAGATAAGGTATAACCAAAGATATCATGAGTTATAACTAAAATAATATCATAACTAAAAAAAATATTAATTATAACTAAAGAAGGAAATGACATAACTATAGTATATATGATACACCTCTTTCAAGAGGTGTGTATGGTAGAATTCTTCTTTTTTTTTTTTTTTTTTAATTTTTTTTTTTTGTCAAAAAATTACTAAAATAGTCTATTTTCAAACCAGTCTTAAATATAACATAACACTAATTCTTAAAATTATGAGAGATTAATATGTATAAATCTATATTATTTTTATTTTATTATTCTATTTTTAAATATATTCTATTCAAATTTATAATATGTTTTATGTGTGTTTCAATAGTATCTCTAAAACATATTACTATTAGGTGTTAAAAAACTAAAAATATAATGGAGAAGGAATGTACCTGTAGATCCCTCTCAACAATTCCACTTTCGCCATCGGTCAAATTGTTGCGGGTGGAATTGTTACCCAATTATAAAATTAATGGAAATAATGTATAATTATATCAAAATTATAAAATTAATTATATTTTTCTCATTAGTCAAGAAAGTCAATCTTTTGACCTTATATACATTGTACATTTCCATCAAATAAGTAAAAAATAATATAATATGGGTTGAGTTTAGTTTGAATTTGATCCTTATATTTAGGTTTTGATGATTTAAACAATTAAGTTTGTAAAGCTCTTTGTGTATATTATTCATGGAAAAATTAGATAAAAATAGTCATTTCATTTTATCATGTTCGTCTATTTTTTTTTTATTTAAAAAATAGATGAACTATTTTTAAAAACACATTTATCGTTATTTTTTTAGAAATAAAATTAAAAAGTTATTATTATTAGATTGGTGTAATTTTTTTTCATAAATAATATGCACAGAGAACCTTACAAAATGAATAATTAAAATTATTGAAACAGAATCTATAATAGACCTCATGAGTTCGAACATGAAGCCTTGGATTCAACAAAAAATCCTCACCAAAAGAAGTCAGCCATCGAATGGGGATGCCATCGTCTTCTTCTGTCATCTGATAAAGTGTGGCAACTGATCTATCAGTCGATAGTGAAGAGCCTAGGAGATCCTCGACAAGTTCTCTGTTTGGCAATAGGTTTAGATCCATATTTGTCTATGCTTTGAAAACCTAACCAAAACACAAATAATCCGATCTCAGAATAAACTTAATCCATTAATCGATTGCATATTTGCAATTGGTAATGCACCTTTTTTTATTAGGTTTTAATTTAATTAGGAATAGTCATTTTTTATCCTTCTTGAAATGATCATTTTATTATGATGATGAATGATAATTTTATTTATAATTTAATTTTTTAAATTTATTTTTATAAGCCAAATGTGAAAATAAACATTATGATAGAATAATTATTTTATATTCTATAAACCAATAAAATAAAATAAAAAAGCAGCCAATTAAATTTTAAAAAATAGATATTTTCTATAGATCATGTGTGAACTAGAGAGTCTAGTTGGGTCTCTAATGATTCAATCCGTTCCTTTTGCAAGTATCTATATGTAGATTACGGGGGGAAAAATTATATTGATTCAATAAATGAAGTCATATTTTTCTTTAAAAATAAAAATAAAAATAAAAATAACTGTAAGGATGATTTTTAAAATAGATCATCTTTTCTTTTTTTTTTAAAGGAAAGGCCATAAATGGTAATAAATAAATAAATAAATAAAATAAAATAAAATAAAATTATATTGATTCAATGATTGAAGTCATATTTTTTAAAATATATATATATATATATATATATATATATAAAGATGATTTTTAAAATAGACCATCTATTTTTATTTTTATTTTTTAAAAAGGAAAAAATGAAACAAAATAATATAACTACAATTATTAGATCAATATGATTTTTTTCATAAATGATTTATACATAGAAAATTATAAAATGAGCAGATCAGATTATCAAAATAAGGTTGTGGAGATTCCAACTAGACTGTGTAGCCTGTAACCTCTATTCAATTAAAAAGAGTGGTATTAAATTAACTAAGTTACCTAAGCTCAACTTAATAAAAACTTATCAATTTTATAAACAAATCAAATTTAAATACATTTTGAATCATATTAAATTTTAACTAAAGTTAAACAACTCAATACTCAACTCGATTCTACTCAGCCCGGTTACTGCACAATTTGAAAGACAAAAATGAGTTATCCAAATGAGTGCAAGTTTTTAAATTTTTTTTAGACGTGTTACAAACTAAAAGTTGATTAAAATTTCATCAAAACCGAAACTAGAAAATGAACCAAAAGGGATTTGCATGATAGAGACACTTACAGATGAGACTCAAAACGCTAATAAGGCCGGTGTGATAGCTGGGAAGGGAGCTCCCAAGTAATTTATATAAATTTTCAATTGTGTGGTTATTTTTGTGTGATTGTCATTTGAAATTACTCATAATCTTTCTTCGAAAGTAGTGGGATTGATCCACAATTGTGTGTTTTGTTATTCTTGTTCTCTAATCAAAACAAAACACAATCGCTTAAGATTTTTGAAGAAAACGTGTAAGGTTGATTTTGTGTGATCACGTTCTGTATTCTAAACCTTTTCTTCATGTGTTACAATATTGATCGATATTGTGTGTTCTGTTACTTCCTTGCAAGCCACCAAAATAGTTTGAATTTTCGAAGTAAAATTGTTGGTGGATCTTATGCGTTTCCTTCACGAATAGGCATTTGCGTCTTTCAAGATTGCTTATCACGCTCTTCATCAGTTGGGGCTTCTCTAGCTAGCTCTTCGACAGTTGCAGCTTCTCCAGCAAGCTGTGCATCACCTCTTGCCACCTGTGTTGCTGCAGCTTTTCAGCCAAGCTTGTTACACAAGTTCTGCAATCTTAAGAGGTGTAGAGTGTTTGATTGCGTTTGTGCAAATTAATCTGCGTTTTGTCAACGAAACAGAAGAGGTATGACAATTCTTCAATCTCTGTTTTCCAGTGTTTGCTTCATTGAACATTTTTTTTTAGATATCTGTTTGAGGTTGGTTAGTGGCTGTATTGACTTTAATTTCTTCTTGTTGAAACTGTTCATGAGTTTGTATTTGGGGATGAACTTCTTCTTTTTTGACATTTGGTATAATCCCTGCCCACCAAGTGTTTGATTCTATTGTTCAAGTGAGAAATTTATCACTGTTCTTGGGTTTGTGTTTTGGGATGAAGTTCTTCTTTTTTGACATTTTTTAAAATTCCTGCCCACCAATTGTTTGATTCTATGTTCAAGTGAGAAATTTATCACTGTTCGTGGGTTTGTGTTTTGGGATGAAGTTCTTTTTTGACATTTTTTATAATTTCTGCCCACCAATTGTTGGATTCTATGTTAAATTTATTGGAAACATTGGATCATTGGATGACGAAGCTAAGTATTTCCCGTCGTGTGAAAATTGCAAGAACCAGACTTCATCATAGTATTCTTGTAATAGCTGTCATAAGAAGTAACAGAAAATAAACAACGAACTCCAAGGGATAGATGAAGGCATATTTCAAATCAATAAACTATGTAATCAGGACAAAATAAAATAAAATTCAGAGACCTCTGTGTGGTGCTTCTCCAGCAAGCCGTTGTTGAAGCAGTGCTATTTGTTTGCTGGCTTATTTGCCTCTGAAAGAGTTCCCCATGTGCTGCAAGACAAAAACAGTGAATCGGCGTAGAAAATGATCTATATATATACTCTTTGCTGTTTGGATTTCACCATGTCTAGGAAACCAGACAATCTGGTATGTGAGTTTGCCTTTGGATTTGTTCAATTTGTTACTGTTTGTTTGAGTGTTGTATCTTCCTTTATTCTGCAGTTTGCATTTGGGTTGATCTCTGTGTGCTTTTTTTCTTTCACAGATCAGCTGCCAATGCAAACAATCTGGTATGTAATTTTTTTGTTTGCAGTTTCTTTGTCTTCTATGGAGAGGTCAATACTTGATTTCTATGCTTCTCTATGACATTGACATTTGTTAGCGCATAGACAAATTATGCATACCATATGCTTGACAATATGGCTGACTAAGTCCAACCAAGTTTGGCAAAGCAAAAAATTAATGGGTTTCCATAATTCAATAGTTGATTATTTTGATGGAGAAAGTACCAAAATTTGTGATTCCCTATTAAATTTCAATATATTCAGAAATTATAGACAAAATCGTCTGCTTTATTCGTGTAGGAAAACACCAAACTGGTTTTTCCATTCCCATGTAACAAAGTGATACTTGCGAAAGGTTTAAAATGTAAGAACCTTACGTACTAAAGTCAGGATTTTGGTACTCTCTCATGTTCCAAAGTAAGTTATAATATCATAGTTCAGTTGGGTTCTAATAACTTTTGTGAATCTTCCCAGTTCTCCTATTCCCCCTTTTTGTTTTTTGACAACAATCCATATCAATGATATATTTTTCGATTCAATCAAAGGAATAAAGACAGTCGAGAAAAAAATATACAATCTTTGAAAACTCACAACACGGAAGTAGAAATATTTAGTGTGAAACATATCATTAAGAAAGACTTGAGTGACTATGCATAGCCACCAATGGAAACTATGCCATCTCTAAACTAAGGCCTCATTTGGAAACAGACTAATTTAGTAACTTTTTGACTATTTGGCTAAAATATGAGCTAAAAAAAACTAGTATGTTTGGGATGATTTTTTGGCTTTTTACGAAAAAATGTGCAAAAAGTAGAGAGAAAAAAGAATCTTTGACTTTTTGGTATGGGTTGTTGGCTTTTTGGCTAATTTAGTAAATTTTTTACTTTTTGGCTAAAAAGGAGGGTTTCCAAACGAGGCCTAATAAGATGGATACTCAGATATTTCATTTCAATCATAATAAAAATACAATGAGTCAAATAAGCATATATTTTATTGAAAATCACTACCATAATTTACTACATGTACTCGTGTAGGGGATGTACACGGATGGTGTACACAGATCGAATTGATCTGATTTTAGAGTAAACTACGAACCGAATTGTAGAAACCAGTTCCTAAAAAATTAGAACAATAACCTATGAACTATGTTACCTAGAACGCGGATCATTTCGGTACATGGAACAAAACAAGAACATGGTACGCAACATATGCTAAAATGTGATACGATAGGAGTAGATTTATATATATTACATTTAAGAATTTAAGATATTTGTAGAGTAATTTTCTTTTAACTCTTAAGTATCTAATAAATTTTATTGTTTTTTTTAATGTAGCCAATCATTTTTCTGAAAATTATGACCCATTTTTTTTTATATTTTTGCCTTGTCAAAACTTAACTCACCTTAGATTTTGATTCATATATTTTATTTTATTTTCTCCTAAGGCAACATTTAAGGAAATATATTTGAAATTTTTTTTTGGAACGGAAGTGTATCATGTTTCATAACGTGTGTCCCAACAGACAAATAATTAAACACAAAAAAAATGAAAAAACACAGAGGAAATTGAATTTCATACGAACATTTATTTATTTTCCCAAAGAGAAGAAAAAAAAACTTGAAATCTTGTGTCAAAAACACTAAACCCCCATCCAATCCGTTGACACCATTCTTGATAGGAAAATGGTTGAGATTTGGCTCTATCAAGTATAATGAGTAGAATGCTCACAAAATTAAGATCCTATCAATCAGTTATTCAACTTGATGGTGTATGCTCACAAAATTAAGATAAACTCACAAATGTAATGAAGAAATAATATTTTTAACTTTGGATGCATTCTTGAGTTAGTCTTAAAAATTCTTGCTACTGCTATTCAGGGCCGGCCCTGAGATTTGTGGGGCCTAAGGCGAACTATGAAAATGGGGCCCCTCTAATATATTTTTTTTAATAAAAAATTTATGCATAAAATAATAACTATCCACAAATTTTTTATTTAAGTATACTTGAACATATAATCATTAAAACTATAAACTAAAATTTACTTTCATATATTAAGATAGGAAGAAGTCAGTACAATGACTCAAAAACATTAAAACTGGTTTTGTTGCTTTATAGTTTAGCAATATCCAGTTTACAATTAACCCAATGATCACTTAAATACTACTCTTCTTACATTTTTAGCTGCAAAATCACCAATTAAGTTTGTATAATCTAATTTATCTACCAAATCCTTTTCAATAGACAATATAGCTAATCCATTCAATCTTTCCTGTGACATTGTTGATCGAAGGTAGGATTTTATCAATTTTAACTTTGAAAAACTTCTTTCTCCAGAGGCAATGGTAACTGGAATAGTCAATAATATTCTATACGCAATCCAGGCATTTGGAAAATAACCATCCATCAATTTCAAATAATTCATCACCTCAATTGGCCTATTGATTTCTTTTGGCAAAATTTCTTTGAAGACTTTCAACTCAGAACATAAATCTCTCCCATCAACATCCATAAGTCCATCATGTTTCAAAAAGTCTTCAAGATTAGCACAATAAGTCTTCAAGGACTCATCATTGGTAGAATTTAACTTCTTCAAATCAAACAAAAATCCAAAAGTTTCTTCATATATTTGAAATTGTTCAAATCTACTCTTAAGTGAAGAAAGAGCTTGATCTATTATATATATGAAATAATTAATTCTAAAGGATTCTTCAGCTGATTGTGCATCCTCTTCACTAACATTCTCATCAAAATGTTTCTTTCTACGAATGACACACCTTTCACGAAATGTAGGTTCAATCTTCATTTCAATTGCAACTTCTTTAGCTTCAATCATGGCCTCCAAAAATCCAGTTTCTCTATACTTTTCAAGAAATGTAATGAGTCCTTTTAATTGATGTATAGCAACATCAATATGCATGTCTTCAGCTTGAAATGTCTTGCTAATAGAATTGACAGCAAACAACAGATTGTGCCAGATAATCATGCCAAGCAAAAACTCAAAGTTCTCAATTTCAGATGTAACTAAGGATTGAGCTTCACACTTTGTATTGGGTCATCAGCTTTTTTTTTCCAACTGAATTAAAGCATCTCTAATTTGTGGAGCTTGGTACCGTATAGCTTTAACACTTTCAATGCGACTTTCCCAACGAGTTTGTGATAATGGTTTAAGTGTGAGACCTTCCACATTGTCTTTGAAAATTTTCCACCTCTTTGTAGAAGATGAAAACAACACATATATGCGTTGTACCACTCTAAAAAAATAGATAGCTTAGGAACAAGAGGTAGCCATATCACAAAGGGCAAGATTAAGACTATGACATCCACATGGCGTGTAGAATACTCTTGGATTTATTTCAAGTACTCTTTTTTGTACACCTTTGTGTCTCCCTTTCATATTAGAGCCATTATCATATCCTTGCCCTCTTATATCACCAATATCAAGTTGGAGTGTGTGCAATGCCTCTCTAAGTACATTAAAAAGTCCCAACCCCGATGTATCATCCACCTTCAAAAATTCTAAAAAGAATTCTTCTACCTTTACCGGACTAGTTTAAACATCAACACATCTTATCACAAGAGACATTTGTTCTTCATGACTAACATCTGGAGTACAATCAAGAATAATTGAAAAATATTTTGCTTCTTTGATTCTTGCCACAATCGTACTCTTGATCTCACTCGTTAACATCTGTATCAATTCATTTTGGATTTTGTGGCCAAGATAATGGTAATGAATTTCACTCCTTTGAATACATTGAATGTGCTCTTGCATTACTGGATCAAATTTAGCAAGCAGTTCAATTAAGCTTAAAAAGATTCCATTTCTTTCTTGATAAATCTTCTCATTGTCTCCACGAAAAGCTAAATTATTTTTAGCAAGAGTGATCACAATAGCAATTATCCTTAGTAACACTTGTCTCCAGTGTTCTCTCTCTTTGTTGATTTGTTCTTGAACACTTCTATCAATTGTTTCATTCTTCTTCAATCTACTTTCCAATTCAATCCATTTGCTCGTGCAAATAAAGTGCTCATTACTAGTTTTATGACTTCTAAGCTTGTTGCCCATATTCTTCCAATCTTTCAATCCATCAGTAGCCAAATGAATATTGTTTCCATCTTGCTTAAACAACTTGCAACAAAAGCAAAACATTTTGTTTGAAGCATCTGAATATACCAGCTATTTCCTATCCTGCTTCTTTCCATTTTGTAACTGTTGCATGTAAAATGTAGAAGAAAAATGCCTATCATTGTCATCTAGGGGAAAATTCACACCATTACCTCTTATAGGACCTCTTTCAACTAATACATCTCTTAAATTTTGATCAATCTTGTCCCAATTACTAGGGTCATAAATGTTTAGAGGTCCACATTCAACATTGACATCTTCACTTTCACTAGATTCTACATTCCCCAAATCTTCATTCTCATTCTCATTCTCATTCATATGTTCACTAGGTTGTTCAATCACCAAATCATCATTCTCATTATTATTACACAAGGAGTAGGTTCTTCAATTACCAAATCTTCATCATCATTGACATTTGAACCCGAAATATCTATTTGTTTCTTTGTACCAAAATATTTATCAAGTGCTCCCGATTGAGATTGAATTAACTGTTCTACTTTCATCCTCTTCTTTTTCTTTTCATTTCCAGAACTATACTTCCTAGGAAACATGGCTATAATCACAAATACTTCAATCCACAAATCACAAACACTGCAAATCAATCCACAAATCACAATCCATTGATCTTATAGCAAATAAATTATAAAAAAAAAAAAAAAAATTAATGAAACAAAATTAGGGCAAAAAATTTATTCAATTAAAACTGATAAATACCTAGGTAAAAAAATTAGGGCTAAATTATTTATTCCACTAAAATCTAATGGATAAAGAAGGTAAAAAAAAAAATTAGGGCAAATTTATTATTCCACTAACTGATAGAGAAAGAATGTAGAAAAAAAATTAGAGCAACTTTATTTTAAAAAATCTAATAGTGAGAGAGAGGATTTACCATGAGAAGAGAGAGTGTGTGTGAGAGAGAGAGAGCTGCCGGAGGAGTGTGTGAAAGAGTGAGAGTGAGTTGCTCACAACAATGTTGTGCTCTGCATCTGTTTTGCTTTGAACTTGGTACATATTGCCTTCATTTCATTACTTCGTTAAAGAGAGAGAGATTGAAAGCAAAACCAGTGCACTGAAGTGAAAGTGATGTTGTATATAGTGTATGTATGGTTTGGGTTGGGTCCAAACACTTCCTCTGTTTTTGTTTTTTGTTTTTTTTTTATATGTTTTCATTTTAATAAATATGGGCCAAACACATTTATAAATAAATATGGGCTAAATTTTACATGGGTCCAATAAAACATTTTGGGGCCTTTTAAATTGATTTAAAAAAAAAAAAAAGGATTGGGCCTATAACAATTTATTAAATTTGGGGACCCTATTTTTTGAACAAAATTTGGGACCTAAGGCACAAGCCTTACCTGCCTTAGGTCAAGGCCGGCCCTGCTGCTATTTTCATATTTTTTGAAATATAATCCCTAATCTCTAAATATTTCAATCCCAATTAATTTCTGGGTCACAAAAGAATAAAGAAGGGCACAAAGATTCTCAATATCGTCTCACTGATGCAGGCTTTGTCTTTCCCGACTCACACTAGTCCGGATATAAGAAAAGGTGACCTATTATAGACATTGCAGTTTATAGGTAAAGAAAGAAAAATAACAACAAAACAAAATATACAAACTGGAAGAAAACAATGTATGTACTGATGAAAACGAGAAATTTATTTTACATCTTAACCATCTGAAATAATATAGGACAAGAAAACCAAGAACAGAAACACAAAAGAGATAAAATAATAACAATTTAAAAAAGAACAATATTCTTTTAGGTAAAAATATCATTAATTATTAATTTTCAGCGACAGTTTAAAAAAATTATCACAAAAAATGTCACTAATTTTCAACTTTCGGTGATAATTTAAAATTTTCATCACAGAAAAATATCACTAATTGTAAATTTTAACAACAATTTATAAAAATCGTGATAAAAAAATCACTAATTATCAATTTTTAGCAGCATATGTAAAAAATCATTATAAAAATTATTTTTATGGACAATTTTACTAGAACTTATTATCAATAGGATTTGATGTGAATTAAATTCAACTATTAAGATCTATTAATAATTTATCCTAAAAATAAATATAAAAAAAGTGAATGAAATTCTAGCTAATTGATTAATATATGGAAAAGTCTACAATGTGCACCTTATAAAAGGGCATATGATATGCACTTATTGTGTGGTCCATATCGTGCCACATCATAAAAAATGACCTGCTAAACCGGTCATATAACAGGTTACAGAAAGAATCATAACTTTTTTTCAAATATCATAACAATACTACAATGAATCATAACAATGTCATAATATTGACCTAAGTGTCATAACAAAGACACTATAAATCATAACAATATAATGACAACTCATAACAAATATAGTTATTTGTAATTAATAATCATAACATTTGAATCGTAACATTTTTTATGATGATTCACCATGACAAATCATAACTTTTGGTGGTACAAATCATAACTTTTACAGATGAATCATAACTATAACACATTGAGTATAACTTTTTTTTCCCACAATCATAACGACATTAACAAACTATCATAACTTTTATCAATGAATCATGACATAGCATATTGATTGTAATTTTGTCCAGAAAATCATAACAACATTAACAAAACATCATGACTTTTAAAATTTCAAACACAATTGATTGTGTAATCAATTGGTATAGCATATTGGAGTGAATGGAAAATCATAATTGATTGCAAAATCGATTGGATTGAAAGACCACAATTGATTATACAATCGATTAGTGGCCAGAGTTTTGAACTATCACAATTGACTGTACAATCTAGTAGGATATAAGGGAGATTCAAATATCACAATTGATTGTACAATTGAATTGTACAATCCATTAGAATATAAGGGAGATTCAAATCTGACAATTGATTGTACAATTGATTGTAGGGATCCTTGATATAATAAACCTAATTGATTCAGTAATCAATTAGTTTTCATAAGCCACACTAAACCAATTAATTCCCAACTTATTCATAGTTCCCAATGAATTAGTAAAAGCCTAATCATTAATATCAATTTAGTCAATATTCGAATAGTAATTGATTGGTTGATCGGTTGCCATTTATATGTAATTTTGTTGTTGTGTTTTCATTACCTCAAACATTATCACTAACAAAAACGCATGACACTCCAACTACGTTTCTCGTTTTATAATTCTCTCTCTCTCTCTCTCTCTCTCTCTCTCTCTCTCTCAAAGTCATTATCGTCAATGTTAATGTTACCTGAAATGTTGTTGCTATAACTATCTCATCGACTCTCTCTTTCTTTCCTTGTCATTATTAGTGAATTAGACAACAATGTTATTGTTACCAACTTCAATTAATCATGCCTTTTGATCCACTGAAACACAACCATCATCATCGACTTAGCCCATTATAATAGCATTGTTGCCACTACTAGTGTCATGTTGTCATTATGTCCAAATGATGACATCGGGTATAAATGACTTTGACACACACTATAAGAATTTTCACTTTTGGCGACTAAATTTTTAGTCACCAAAAGTCAATTTTTGTATACAAAAAATAAATAACTTTAATTGTCAAAGTACACACAAACCAACTATTGTCCAAACTAAAATAATAATTTCATACAAAATATAGAATCATACAAAAAGCAAAGCCCTCCACATACAAAAATTACATTTACTACCATGTGAAATGACCATTTGGCATGGTACGAATTACCATCGTAATCTGTACCACGACAAAATGTGATGTATGTACCAAGACAAAAGTACATCTATGTACCACGACAAAAAATCATATATATGTATGACGACAAGAGGTGATCTATGTACCATGCTAGTAATTATCTGTTGGCTGCCAAAAGCTTTTTGTATCAGTAATAGTGAACTGCACAAAAGCCGGGGATGACAAAAGTTTTACATTAGTTCTATACAAAAGTGAAATTTCTTCTCCATACACCAAAATATTACTCTGAAAGTCCACGCAACAAAGTCATCTACAAAAAACAAAAAAACATTAGAATTAGACCCAAAAATGCCCAACTTCATGAATGAATTTGGGAACAAGTGACAAATAACATATCAAAGAAGCAACCTTCCATGATGAATCAATTATCAGTCTTTCTAAAGTCTTTTGTTATAAGGAACATTGTTAAATGCAGAACAATCATTACTAAATCTGTTATTACTAACATAAAGCTAATGTAACAATCTTCTATTTGTATGCAACATGTATCCAAATTATGTGGCTAAACCAATATCAAAGCCCGATGTGAATAGAAACTATTCTTTTTACCAACTTCCTCATTAATTGTTTTCAAAAAGCACTTGAATCATTAGATTGGATATAAAACTATCCCTATTTATTAATGTCTGTCAGTGCCATTTCATTCAAGATATTAGAACATGTGAGAAAAATAATAACCAAAATAAAGTTCAATCACAAAAGGAAATATGTAGAAATGTATGTTCAATCACAAAAGCAACCTTCCTTGATGAATCAATTATCAGTTTTGGGCGTATTCGGCTCTAACTCCCAACCAACGGGTCCGAATTATATTCCGTCAGTTGTCACAAGTCCTATTTGTCATGGGGAAGTTGCCTGTGAGAGTCACACGGTGGTTCGGGGGCTGTTTTGAATTTTCGCCCCTGAACCGCCCTTTTTCGAGTAAGTTTTGGGCGTATTTGGCTCTAACTCCCAACGTATGGGTTCGGATTATATTCCCTCAGTTTTCATAAGTCCTATTTGTCATGGGGAAGTTGCCCGTGAGAGTCACACGGTGGTTCGGGGGCTGTTTTGATTTTTCGCCTCCGAAATGCCCTTTTTCGAGTAAGTTTTGGGCGTATTCGGCTCTAACTCCCAACCTACGAGTCCGAATTACATTCCGCAGTTGTCACAAGTCCTATTTGTCATGGAGAAGCTGCTCGTGAGAGCCGCATGGCGGTTCGGGGGCTATTTTGAATTTTCGCCCCCGAAACGCCCTTTTTAGACTAAGTTTTGGACGTGTTCGGCTGTAAATCCCAA